CGGAATGAGTTACAGAACTGAAATTTTGGAAAGCATTTTACATTTTTATGTACGTTATATACATGGCCAAAGCCAACTATTTAGTTAATTTACCCCAACATGTGACGCATCATTCTTTAGAGCTCGTTGAGTATGACATAAAAATATTTCTTATTTTCAATAAAAAGGAAGGAAGTGGTTTGTTACAAAAATCCGTAACAAAAACATGTCTAAATTACAACTTAGCTCTCTAAGTTGTAATTTTTAGACAATTTTTGTTACGGGGTCTATCAAAATCTACACTAGTTAGGAATGTGAAATTTTGGTATATGATGCTCCATATGCTGTTTTTAAACAAAACAAATACTGAAAACTCCGTTTTATAATTTTCTTTATACGTTGTGACGAAAACAAACAAATGAGTTTTCCTTTCGCGGTTTGTTGTAGGGAACGCTTCGTGCGCGAGTCCAACTCGAATTTTTTACTTATTCGTATCAGGTTGTTGTGGGATTTGAATATAAATATAACTTCACAATAATTTATTATTGGTTTTAGGCAGGACATAAAATTGTAGATTGAAGAAAGTGTTGCCAGGTCCGATTTTTAAAAATCGGGAGGCGTTATGGAAAAAAGCAGTAGAATTGTCAAATCAAATCAAGATATAGGCCAGTAACGAATGTATTACTGTGGCTTCTGTTGCACCTCAAAGCTCGTTTTTTAGACAATAATAAATTTATTCGATAATAATTAAGGTAACCTATTTATATTTAATTAAGAAAAACAGTAAAACAGGAGAAATTTCAAGAAAACAGGAGATTCCTGTAAATTCTGGAGAACTGGCAACACTGATTGAAGATAACACTACAAAACAACACGTTGTGTTCTGTGTGCATGTGGCCTAAGAACAGCATCAAGAATATTGCGAAACGGATAAATATGCAATAGGTTGGGTATTTTTTTTGCAATGAAATGACCATCAAATTGATGCTCTACGAATAGCCAACGAAAATTTTTCAAAAAATACGATACGTATTCATGATGTTTTTTTTTTGATATTTTTCGTATTTATTATTCAAGGCCTAATTACATCCCGCTTATTAATTAACAAAGATAAGCTTGGATTGGACACGGTGCAACTATTCTAAACTTATCATTCGTTTATTAATAATAAGTTGTGGGTGAATAAGTTTAGTACAATAGTGGTGTCGATTCTAGCATGATTCTCTAAACCTAAACTTAAATTTGACAGCAGTCTATCCTTGTCATTCTCTATACAGAATGAAAAGGAGAGACTGATGTTAAATTTAGTTTTAAGTTTAGAGAATCACGCCAGAATTGGCACCAGTGCTTAAATAAACTATTCCACCTGATGATGAGTGGAGTTCAGTTGTAAACATTGCTGATGAGGCACAAATGTGTATCTACTGCTCCAGCCATCCTTACTTTGCAGACTTAAACCCAATCCCCTTTTACGTGGAGCTGGACACTCAGAAACACAACAGAGTTATTTTATTGTGTGCCTCTGTAAGATGGAGGTTTATTGAATACCCCACCGCTATTTCTTTAGCTCTATTTTCATATGATCAAATAATAACTTCACAACGATAAAATTATGTAAGTAAGTCACATTTTGTGTTCCGTTTAGGGTTACTATTTAAATTTGAAAAGTCCTGACAAAAAGCCGGACATTTCGATAAAAGTCCGGACATTTTAGTCACAGAATGCAAACATCACCCACTTAGTTACAGTGATATTATACGCGTGGTAGCAGACGCTCGCATCGCGAGGGGGGTCTCGTTGTTGATTTTTAAAGATTATTTGACTTATTAGATATAACTTAATAAGTAGTTTTACTCATATTCCATCCAATTAAAAAAAACCGTACAAATTATAAAGCCGGTCAAAGTCCGGACAAATCCGGACGGATGGTAACCCTAATCCCGTTGGAGATTGAAAATATCTAATTTGACAGTAAGTGCGAAAAATTTACCAACGAATCGAGTTGTTGGCAAGAAAATACAATGTAAATAAATATAGGTACACAAATAGTCGGTGTAAAAACTTGCATTGAATTCATTAAGTATATATAAATGTCAAACTTAGTTTCAGGGTCAAATACTTACCAAAAATTCAAAGCTAGGATGTGTATGAAGTAATTGTGACAAACGAACTTTTAAATTAAATGATATCTTATAAATGTAGGTAGCTTAGGATTAAGAGGTTCATTAATCAAAATACGAAAAATACGTGTGCACTGAATTGTAGTAGTAGTAGTATGATTTCGTCCATTGGGACAGGCGGCACTGAATTGTTTTAATAGTAAAAACTTTTTGACAGCCTCTTATTTGTAAACTTGATAAACAAGCAGTTAAACTTTTTAATAGAAAACTCTTTTAACCGCTTTATAATTGTGTTGCTATACTATGGCACAAACTCAACAAAACAAACAAGACTCACCGGTTGTTTAATCCCATCAAAGTTCAAAATAGCTTTTTCCTAGAAGCATGGACGACAATGATAACATCCTTCCATGAGTGCAAACAAATTTTGTATCCACACAACAACCGTCACGCGCGACAATACCGCGAAAATCCAACAAAAGAAAACCAAACGCGACTGTACACACAAATTTTAATCACTTGTAAATGCAAAGGTTCACTTTATAAGTAAATTACCTAAGTAATGTTATTGAAAACTAGATCGGCTTTTGTCGTTTTTAAAGACGCGAACTTTTTATAGAATGCCTGCGCGCAGCCTCTCACCGACACACCAATTGAACGACTAAAGTTGTTTTGTTAACAGTGTGACCAGATAAAATTTTACGAAAATACCGAGGCACCTCAAAAAAATACTGAAATATACCGACTTACATAGGACAGATATACCAATAAAAATACTGATTTTCTTAACACGTTTTATTTATTCATACGTACTCACAATAAATGTTAGAGTTATATTTTCACATCCTTTTCGAAGGATTAAAATTTACACAACCTCCTTCTTTTCTTCACGCTCTATCTAATAGTGCAAACCGCATTAAAATCGGTCCAGCAGTTGTAAAGTTTTAGGCGAACATACATTTTGCAAGTCTGATTAATACTATATATTGATTGATAATTGTATATGTAGTATTACAATACTACAACGCCGACAACGGCCGTCTTTCTTGTCATATCTGTAACTTACTCATAGATAACATGTATAAGTATAGGTAAACTAAATCCGGGGAAGTCCCCAATGTTCGCGTTCCGAGGAATTCCGCAAACATTGTCGCAAAGACGATCACTCACTACGGTGTTGCCATAACTTCTACCAATATATACCCAAAAATACTGACTGCCAGCAATATACCTGAAAATATACTGATGTTCGGAAAAATCGATGAAATATACTGAAAAAGTATTAAAATACTGAATCTGGTCACACTGTTTGTTAATTTGTGATTTTGCTGGTCTTTCTTTGATGTGGTAAACTTGTTTCGGTTCGCTAGTTGAACTTTAGGAAAATGTTAAAACATTGTCTCTAGATGGCGCTTTAGCGCTGTTTTCATAACAGCGCCATCTGTGATTTAAGTGCGCAATCGTTTACGATCATCTCTCAGGTTGCTGCTAACTAAAAGCAATGCTTTATGGAAAGCAACAAGTTTAAAGAGTTACGCTAGAGATATCCCTGTGCAGCTTTATGATTGACTCTTTAAAAATTGTATAGATGACTCCACTTGTAGAAATTTTAAATTAAATATAAAAATACCCATTTTTTTAAAAACCATTATATGTGTCTAATTCTTCTAAGTTATTTTATTTCGAGCTTTACGAATACCCAAAAATATCCTGTATCTTTATTATTACATAAAAAGGCAGCTTTCTATTCAATCTTTCATCCCCTACACTAGTAGTTAACTAAACGGAGAAAAATATCCGTTTATTTATAGTAGAAGAACGGATACGAAATGTTTTTTTTTGTCTAGAATTAAACGGAGAATATAATCTTGAAGTTCGTGTAGTTCTACAAATAGACTGAACGGACAGCACTAAAATATGTAATAAAGTCATCATCACCATTTGGCGTGTTTTTGAGGAACGTTTAAGAAGAACTAATATTGTGAAAAGATGGGCGTTTGTGGCTTAATAATAATTGAAAACTTGTCTATACACAACTTACGCAAAAACGCATTTTATTTATATAAATTATATTTAGCATATGCGGTTCAGCTAGGCCTTCCTTAATTTAACTGGAATGTAACAAAATAACTTAAATGTATTAAATCTGATGTAGGTAGATAGGTACCAGGGCAACCAAAAGAGGTTTGTGTCTATTTAGTCCTACTAGTATTATCGGTTTTGTCCAATTAAAATTCATACAGCAGATAGTAGGACGATACGGATTTTTTCACTGTTAAGTCGTTATTGTAGTACTGAATGGTAGAACTCTCAAAAGCGATACAATAATATTCACCCTCTTGAAGTTTAATTTTCTCAACGAAAAGTCATCAAAATTGGTGCAGCGATATATGTGAGAGACCATGTCTGTTACTAACCTATGTGTTTACAGATTATAATTATTTACTATTTATACGAGTAGGGAAAACTAAAACGAAAGATATTGTCAATGAAATGCAAGATATAATAATAAAAATGTTATTCAATATTTGTATCATTAATGGCTTAAAAACAATGTAAATTAAAGAAATAAAAAATAAAATTCTACTTTTATTGAATTCTATAGATACTTCTTTGTTTGTAATAAACAGATATTATCGTACTATTTTTCGCCCTCTACGTAAAATCTACTTTAGGAGCATTGATTTATTAATTAATCATTCTAGTGAGCGAAAATTTATATATCCTTCCCCTTATTCCAAACCGCGGACTAAAATTTGTCTTGGTTTATAACTAATGTTGCCTCTATCCTGTTTTTAGCAAATAAAAGTGACAGCAGTTTTAGTCCCGGTTTATCTTTAGTCTAGGTTTTGTAATAAGGCGTTCTAAAAAAAACAAGTACTGAATAAAACGAAACAAATTCAATGCTTGAATACTTTATTTATAATAAGTTTACATAGGTAGTTAAAATCAGAGATCCGCGAAAGCCATGTCATCGTGTGTCACAGTAATTATAATCGAAATTATTGACGAATGGATGAATACATAGATTTTTAATTGCACTGAGAAAATTCCGAAATACAAAAAAAACCGGAATGTAAAAACAAAGATAATGATTAAGAAGGCCTGTCTTTTTTAATATTTAATATGAATTGCTACGTATTTATCAAATTACATAGGTATGGTACGAATATTAAACTCTTAGGATTGCCTTCTTCATAATTACTACGACTTGAACAAACTCTTGTTTGCTATTTTTTAAAAAGCAGCAGACCTCCCTTTACTGCTAAGAGGCGTACCGCTGCTAGTTGCTGGATTTCCACCAATTATTCTTATTCCAATATCATCATCAAATTCGACTTCTTCCTGATTGTCGAAATCTTCATTACGCTGTTGTCCAGATCCGAAAAGATCTATGAAATCACCTGGCAGGGATAAAGGTCCAACTTGTAAGTTAAACAATGATTTCACAGTGTTTAGCATTTTCTCAGGTCCTAATCCACTGCTCAATAAAGAAGACCGTACCTTGTTACGTTTCTCCTTTTGCCTCAAGTTTTGTTTTGGCTTCGGCAGGTTTCGCACGGAGTAATATTCGTTGAAATCATTATATTCTCCTGGTGTATTTCCGGGTGAATAAAAATTATAAGGATGATGATAGAGATGTTTTGCTGGGCTTGGGTGTGGATATGGCCAATTGCTTAACATTCTTCTGTAAGAAGGTTTAGGAGAAGTTGTTTCGCACCTTCTCTTTAATGGTATAATTCCCAGTAATTTTGGCGGAGAGATTTGAGTTACAACAATAGTATCTAAGTACCGCAAGTTTTGAGGCAGTGAAAATGTACTGCCTTTTATGTTCTGCAAATTATTGTACGAGCCGATATCACCTATGGAGATATAATGCAGTCTCAAATTAGCGGCGTTTATAGCCACATCGTGGTCATTTTTAAGTACTCCATCTTTTGTTATTAAAATGTGATTCTCATACAGAATGTTCGCTAACCTAGACTTTAAGAAATCAAGATCAAAAGTATTTTCCAACTGCTTACTGTTGTTACTTAATATATGTATCTGTTGGTTGAACCATCCATCGAAATGTGTCGGTTTTTTAAATAATGAAATAAGGGGTTGTAAAATATTTTGAATGTATATAGTTTTGGAATTGGGAGACTCATTGTTCACTTCGTTCCATTTTATCATATCAAAGGTTTTATCAGAGTCGGCTAAAGATTTTTCCGTAACAGACTCAGTATTTAAAGAATACTGTGGATCATGGATAGTGTTTTCCGTATTCCAAATATACTTATCAATCTGATTTGATGCAATAATATGTTGACATAGAGGATTATCAGGGGAACAATTATTAACAGTATTTTCAAAATTTGTAGTAGGTTCTTCAGAAACGTAATCTTTCGATTGATCATTTAAATCGTCAGTTTGTTGCAATACACTCTGATTTTCGCCATCTTTTATTTGATCCTCTGTATTATCGATTTCTATTGGTAAGGTGTTATCATAAAATATGCTTTGGCTGTTGTCGCTGTTCATATCGTCGTTTTCATAGACCAGTTCATCTGTAAGCTCTGGTCGTAGTTTAGTAGTTTCTATTATTCCAGTATTCAAACCAATCGCCACGGAATCATTATCTGCAACATCTTCCGATTCTATACTTGATGATTCTGATTGACGAGAGTGTACTTTTACAAAATTACTGTTTTCTCTTATAACTTGAACTACTGTCTCTGTAGTTATTGCGATTAAGTCGTTGCCTTCTTCTATCGGTAAATCAGGGAAGAAATACTGAGTTCTTTTTCTAGGCGTGTACATGAAGATTTCGTTTGTGACTTTATTTCTGTAGAAAAACACAACAAGTCGTTCCACCTCGTTGCCATTTATATCGTCTGGTACTTTATGATGGAGATTGTTCGAACAAAAGCATTTGTTAAAATCGTGCTGTATCAAGTTCTCCGCTTCATTTTTAGTTACAATAGAAGAAGACGTTTCGCTGCTGTAATAGGACAGATTTGGACATAAAAAATATCTAAATGATCACCAAAAAATAGCAAATGATCAATATCATTGTTTAATTGGTTAGGTTAGGTTAGCATTTTTTTTGAGATCCTTTAATCATCTGCATTGGATATGGGCAAATTTAAACAATCCATCTTTAAATATTATATAGAAATGCAGTTATTTTTTGGGTGTGTATGTTGTTGGTTGCAGGTGACCTTTACAGCGTCACCGGGTGGGGGGGGGGGGGGGGGAGACCTAATCTCAAGCCGAAAATTGGCGAGTGCCTCTAGAGGTACTCCAGGCGGCATTTCCGCAAGCGGGGAGTCTCCTCTCCAGCCTCCAAACCACTCGAACCTGATGGTGTCGGCTCAACTACAATGCGTCTCTGAGACTAGGACCTCGGCTCTAGTTAGCCGTTGTCGTGGGGAGAAATGGAGTAAGGCTTGGACATGATTGGCTTATGATTTTTGGTGCAATTGGGCCTAAATGATATTAAGCCTTTGTTAACTTGTGATGAAAACATTTTTGGTGATCACTTACTATTTTTGGTGATCAGTTGAACATAAGCTTGTTAGTTTTGTTTGTTAGTTACATGTTCTACGGTATGTACAGAAAATAGAGGTTATCCCAACTCGTGAACAATAAGAAGCAACTGAAGCTTCAAAATTCAAGTAGAAGACTCAAGTTTTAATTTACTTTAGACGTACAATACGTCGTACTTTAATGTCCAATGGCAGCGCTCAGACGTTAATTAATTTTATAATTTGAGTAAAGGCGATGTTGGCGCTTTGGACTTGCCGATGACATAAGAATAAAGCGACACGTCACTCTGACAAGCATACTATTTAATTGTCGTTCATTGGCGGCTAATAGTGGACTACATAAACAATAATTTGGCTGCACTTTCTTCGCAGTGGGCAGGTTCCTTTAAATAATTACTGTTATTCGTAAAATAAATCCTACCTTACATAAAAAGTGACAAGTGTCAAGTAAAAGACCAGCATCAGCATCTGAAATAAAGTAAAAAGTAAGTAATTGTCTTAAATCACTCTTAAGTTAGCCGACTATATTATAAAAAAAAACGATTATGAGCCAGCTGTTATAAAGTATTTTCACGCATATCCAGAACTAAAAGAAAAGTATTAAAAGTACTAACGAAAAGTATTAAAAGTACTATCAATGTTAAAGTTGCTAACTTTTTTAACCCATGTAGTAAGTAGGTTAGGTACTTATAAAATAGTCTATCCACAGTTAGGATAAGTTTGAAAGCTAATGTAAGCGATAGACTGGCAATACTCAATCGCCTATTCGTTTAAATTTCATGGGACGAAATAGAGGTTATGCAAATGATGTTTATCTATCTTCTTTATATACGTGGGATACTCAAAAAGTCTTGAGAAACTAAGAAACTAACTTCTATGAAGAAAATATTTTTATTAAATCTTTTCAAAGAACTCTCCACCAGCCTCTATACAAAGTCTCATGCGTCTGAACCAATTTTCAAAACATTTTTCCAGTCCTCCGCACACCTTTTCCACGGCCTTCTCAAACGTTGTTTATCTATCTTCTATATAGACGTGGGATACTCAAAAAGTTTTGAGAAACTAAGAAACTAATTTCTATGAAGAAAATATTTTTATTAAATCTTTTCAAAGAACTCTCCACCAGCCTCTATACAAAGTCTCATGCGTCTGAACCAATTATCAAAACATTTTTTCCAGTCCTCCGCACGCACACCTTTTCCACGGCCTTCTCAAACTTCATATCCCTTTGAGCAGAGTTTTCATTTAAGGGGAAAAAAAAGAAGTCACACGGAGCCAAATCAGGACTGTAAGGAGGGTATCCCAAGACTCTGACTGGTGTCGAGTCTAGGAAGACCTTCGTTTTGATCGCAGAGTGCGCGGGCGCGTTGTCGTGGTGAAGAAGGACCCCGCGGAGCCCGGTGTTAGGTCGCTTGTTGCTCATTGCAGAAATAACTTCGGGCAGGTATTTTGTGCTATACCATTCGGCGTTGATGCTGCTTTGGTCTCGAAGTGGAATTGAAATTAGGTACCCCTTCAAAGTGAAGAAACTAGCGATCAAAATTTTCCCTGCGCTCCTCGATCGCTTCACTTTCGTAGGCGTTGGTTCATTTTGAAACAGTCAAACTGTCGACTGGCGTTTTGTTTCTGGATCGTATTGATAAATTCAGGATACAGCACAATATCGTAAACGCGCTGTGACGAGCCTGCATCAAATTTTTGTATCATATCACTGCACCAATCCACACGGGCCTGTTTCTGAGCTTCGGTGAGGTTGTACGGCACCCAGCGGGAAACTATCCTCCTTACGCAAAGGTGCTCGTGCAAAATCTTGTAAACACTTCCTGAACCAATCTGCAGAGTCTCTTCGTACTCTTTTCTTGAATTATTTTTTTTACTGCCAGCAGCACACTTTCTTCGGTGACAGCCGTTGTAGGACGACCACTCCTTTATTCATCGCCCAAAGTAAGACGACCGCGTTTGAACTCGCTATACCAGCGGTAGATGGTTGCTTTTGAAGGTCCTTCATTCATAAAAGCAGATCGAAATCGTAAAAATCATAGCAAGAAAATCTTTTTGATGCAGATCCATTTTTTAATAAGACAAGAAAATTTAATTGGCTCTCGAAAAAATACGGAGGGAAAGGACAATGTTAAAATTGGCCTAAGAACCAACACCAATTTGGCATTTATATAGAATATTTTTTGCGATAATTATCAGTATTTAGATTGTGACGGACACTTCCAGTTAAGTAAGCTAAATTAAAAAGTTAATAAATAATCTGAGACAATAAATACCATTTTCTGTGTATAATCTATAACAGCGCTGCAAACAAAAAACACTTCCTTACTAATGCCGGCACTTCTAAAAGCTATTTAAAAACATGACATCAGTCTGTCCTTTTCATTCCTTATTAAGCATGACAAGGACAAACTGTTGTCAAGTGAAGGGCCGGCATAAACTCGATACTCTGTAGTTATGGTGCAGGCAGTTTGCATTCGTAGTAATCTGTGGCATTCGTGCATCTCGTCAAAGAGTACTTTTTATATACGGAAAATTCTCGTTCGGATTACCTGTTGTGTGTGTTTATTTGCGATTGTTTTTCCTTTAATTTAACTATTACTATTTCGGCTATCTAATATGCCATCGAAGTTAACAAAGAGGAGAGACCTTATTACCAAGTGCTAGTGAACCTGTGCCACAACATCCTGAGAGGATCATACTGCCAAATTATTCCAGAGCACCATTCACGCTGCATATTAACACAATATACATGTGTTAAACAAATAAATACAATATGATATAATTATGTGAAAAATAGTCAATAATTAATAAGAAGCAAAACTATTGTTTTTATTTTATTCATGATTCCTACCTAACCAAGTTCTTCCTAATAGTTGTTCTTTAAAATCGCACCGAATAAAATGAATTAGTTGTAATATTAATTTACTTCATACTGAGTTCATACTAAGTTCATAGGTTGACCTATGTTTCAGTGAATATTAAACACAACCTCAAAAAAAATTTACTTTTCCTAATAATTTAAGTTTTCAGAAGTGTCCGTCAATAATCTTTGTTTTTACAGTCATTTACTTGCGATTTCGAACCTAGAAAATAATATTTCATGATTGTTGGTTCTTAGGCTAACTATGTATGGACGCAGAACAATGTCCTTTGAAAATCGAACAGTGGTATTTTTACTTCTAAATAATCGAAGTTTTCAAAATAATTACAAGTGTCCAGTGTCTTATACATAAACATTTTTTTCGCAAAACTTTCTGAGTGGTCTGGTACCACACTAAAATAAATAAATAAATATTTGCAACACACACACCAATTAGCCTAGCCCCAAAGTAAGCATTGTAAGGCTTGTGTTATGGGATACTAGGGTAACGGATAGAATACATATACTGTACATATGTAAGCATATATATATAGTAATACACTTAAAAATGGAATGGAAAAAAAACGACTATAATTATATATATACACACACATATTATATATAATTATAGTCGTGTGACGCTCATGACGCATTTCTGTTTTATCTTTTTTTTCCATTTACAAGATTCCTCGTTCGAAAAGAAGATTCACTTCAAAAATATTTCATATAAACAAATAGCTACATATTTCTACTCACCTTTTCTGATTTTGTCATAAAATTAAACGCCAAATGAAGCCATCTCAAACTACACTGTAAATTTAGAGTAACTCATCTTTATAAATTACTGCTTTTATATGTGAAAAAAATTAGCGCGTAAATAATTAGCCATAATTGTTTAATTAGACCCGAGAAGCAATTTACTGTAACCAATGACATAATGTTGCTTCGTAATTTCTTTAAAATAATCTTAAGAAAATAATTAGGTATGAAAACTGAGTAATTATATTTCTGTGAATTACACTTAATAACTTTATTGAAATATGAAAAATCTTATTTTTAATGTGTCTGGGTATTTAATTTTAAAAACATATTTATTTTATAATGTTTCTTTAAATGAATAATTACATCCATAGCACAGTAGTAATAAAGAAAACCTTTTAATTAAAGCCTATCTCTGAAAGTTTTATTTTTCCTATAATCATAACTCACCCTCATTTTGGTGTATTGCCCTCAGTACAGTGGGAATAGTCCGGTCACGGTAATATTTGAATACAGTATTCTATCTTCATACAAACGGTCGGAAAGCGTGTCATACCTACGCCACTCGAGTTCGCGCGGCACCAGGAGCTCTATTTTTGAATCACTCGTCTGACATAGTATCGTCGAATGCGACATAAGTCACCTTAGACTTTCAAGTCGCATAATAATGATTTTCCGTATTATCGAATCATTCGTCACCGGGGTTACCTGTTTAATACGAAATGTAAAATTTTACTCATTTCACGCAGAAATGATAAAAACCGAACAAAAAATTCTGGCTGTCGTTTCATATAAAGCATGACAATAATAGATCATCGTCGTCTAATAGCACAAAAAATTTGACAATTATTCTATTATTCGCCTCCACCATTCGCCATGCAGCGAGTGGTCTCACCCATTCGTTGCACTCGAGCGATTCAAAAATACGGAATTAATTATGTCGAATGAAAATTAGTAGAAAACGAGCGTTCGACGCAAGACGAGTGATTCAAAAATAGAGCTCCCGGTCACGGTAATAATATCATACAGTATTCTATCTTCATACAAACGATCGGAAAGCGAGTCATACCTACGCCACTCGAGTTCGATGGGCTCTCGGCGGGCACCCAGTCGCGAATGCGCCGCCGCGCCGTAACGACGACCGAACGGTGTAAATTGTTTTTTATGCAGTTAGCCGTGCTTAAACGTGCGTTTTGTATTGTAAATATTTGATTGAATTAAGTAGATACCTACATAATTTAGTATGGAAAAGAACAAACGACGATCAATATCGTACAACAGCACAATTGCTGTTTTTGGTTGCTTGAACTCTTCAATAACACACCCAGAGATATCATTTTTTTAATTACCTGAAATATTGGAAAGGTGTCTTACCTTTATAGATTATTTTTATATACCTATCTACTAGTACGTAATTTGTTTCTAATATTTAGGTATATCGATTTTTCCATCGGGCAAAATATCTGGAATAATATATAAATAAGTGGTTAGAATGAAAAAGAGACAAACGAGTAATCTACCTACACTCGCGTTAAAAACAAAACTACATAAAATAGGTAGGTAGTTTCCTAGACTAGACTATCTACTTACTTAACTACATACATTATTGAATAACTAAACTACATACATAATTGAATTAAATTAAATATCATTATGAAATAATTGTAGTGATCGGATCTTTTTGGTGTATACTGGCAGGTTATAAGGTAATTTCGAAAAGAAACGGATTGTTGCCAGGAATTCATAGCTGGAAAATAAAAAATAGGAAGATTTGTGCGGAGTTTAAAAAACAGTATTTTGTTTATTGATAATAATAAAGTAATTTCTTGAAAATAAAAGTGTTTCAATGACAATAATTAGTTTGCATGAAACGATCCCTACAGTACCTACCTAGTAAGATTTACCTACATTGTAGGTAATTTCCTTACCCGACTGCGCCATGACTTACAAATAAATATAACTTGTATGTTTAAAATAATATTCTTTTATTGAATTATGTAAGAATAAAAATCAGCAGTCGGGTTTATTACAAGCTTTTAATTAACTTGCAATATAGGTAGGTATAACTTTGTTTTTTCGGGTGGAATCTTGAAACTCAATTTTGAAGCAGATATCTTCAACCAGTTGAGCTGAAATTTTGTATATACCCGTTTTGATTAAAAAGCACGGTTAGCTGTGTGACGTCATTCTAAATCCAACATGGCGGAATAGTTATTTTTAATGCATTCCTACGATATGGGTATATGGGCTTGCGGAGAATCTTTCCATATAAAATAAAATATTTACAATCACAAAACTAGAAAGAAACTCAATTATGTAGATGAAATTAAAATACTGTAGGCGGGCGGCCCTACCGCGTGCTAACGCAGCGCTCGGCCTCGGGTAGGCATTTATTTCAAGGACAGGGCGGAGTCACAATACTGTATAGTTAATATTACCGTGACCCGGTGGACATCCAGTCGCGAATGCGCCGCAGCGACGACCGAACGGTGTGTGAATTGTTTTTAAGCAGTTAGCCGTGCTTAAACGTGCGATTTGAATTGTGAATATTTGATTGAATTAAGTAGATAATTTAATATGGCAAAGAGCAATAGTCGATATTGTGCTGTTTTTGGTTGCTTGAACTCTTCAATAATTAAACTTTTTATACGAATGCTTATTTATTACACTATTTAATTTAATAATAAAGCTTTTCGTACGTCTCAGTCGATGCGTAAATATTTTTCTGTCTCAAATCTACATTTTTTATTTTTATTTCATTTCATTACACTTAAAAAAACATGTATTTTATGTAACACTTCCTAATTCATTCACAACAATTTATTTTTTTACGTATTAAATAAAATGTTTTTAATCACAAAACTAGAAAAAAACCCAATTATGTAGATGAAATAAAAATACTTTAGGCGGGCAGCTCTACCGCGTGGATAGGTCCCGCTCGGCCGTAAGCAGTTATTTCAAGGACAGGGCCGAGTCACAATACTGTATAGATAATATTACCGTAGCCCTCGCGCGACTTGATTCAGTCTAGTGAAATATCCGAGCGCAACTTAGTTTTGTTTTGGAGCTGGCCCAACAGCGGGAGAAAATCGACAGCGGGGAACGCTGTGAATGCCGATTCTCTTCCTGACCGCGTTGGCCGCGTTGCTCTATGGCAATGACGCTCTCGTTGAGGCTAATCTCCAGAGCCTTGACCACCGAAGACGTGTAGCTTGCCTCTCGGTATTTTATCGGTTACATTTCGGAGAGTATGCGCAAGTATAACATAATTTGATCCCCCTTCCCCATTCCACAACCGGACGACCAGGCGCGGTGAGGGGTTTTACCCTTATGTTGTCGAAGTTCCTCCCATTCGCACGAAGCGATTTGCTTCCGCTTTCATTATGCGAACGGCTAGGGAGTGGAACTCCTTATCAATTTTCCCGGACCAATATAATCTGGACATCTTTAAAGCCAGAGTGAACAGGCATCTTCTAGGTAGGCGTGTACTATCTTAGGCCTCATCATCGCTTCCCATCAGGTGAGACTGTGGTGAAAAGTCTTGCCTATTAAGCACTAAAAAAAAGCACGATCATTTTAACCATAACGTAAAACTGCTTGAAAAAGAAACATACAAAGTAAAAACCTTTTTGTTTTCTTTGTAATTAGAAATTGACTGGCCACTAACGAAATAACGACAAATGTCAAATGTGAAACAATCATATACAGTTTTGTCACATTCGTCAAATCAATCAAACGAAAAATAAATAAATTTATCGCATAGTGAAAAAAATGGCCACGATGAGATTCCAACAGGCTTTCACGAAGTTGGGAGTGAGGAAGGTGGGGTTCTCGTTATCGCAAGGGAACTATCAGATCGGAAACGGCAACCAGACATCATCGAGCCAAGGGTCTGGAGTTCATACGGTCCTCAGGAGGGACTACACTTTGCCGCCTGTCGGTACTGGAGCGGGGAGAGGCGGGGGCGCAGGTGGTTCAGTAAGAGAATCTGGTGGAGCCTTAGGCCAGTATGGAGCCGCTCAAGAGGAAGAATACTTCTTCAACAAGCGCAAGGAGCAACTGGCAAAGCTGAAGTCGAAGATGAAGCAGGAGGGCAAATCCCCGGACATAAAACGCAAGGAGGACAAATAGTTCGGAATTTGGATGGCAATGCTGCAATGTAAAACGCAAATTGTAAAACGAGTCTGCTGCATTTAATTTTCATGATAGGTATCAGTCCGATAATTACGTTTCAAATTGATTATGGAAGAAGTTTCGAAATAAAATTGTGTAAATCCGTCTTTTGGGCAATTTAATCAAATAGTTCGAAGAAGTTTATTTTATAATTAGGTTAGGGCAAATTACAACACCCTAACTGATGGTAAATAAAGGTGGAGTCCAGGCGTGATGCTGTGTGCAGCTGCTTTAAGTCATAGCACACATATCAACTCGGAAGCGGATCGATACCGACTCACCTCGGCTTGGTGTTAAACAGGCGTCCACCTGATATAAGCAATGTAATGTAATGGCACGATTACACTTGGTCATTAGCCCGAAGAGGAGTGCCAATAAAAATGAACTTACAGTATAAAAGGGTATCGTTGTATAAAACGTATAAAATGTGCAGCCGTTGGGTTGTCTATTATTTACCTGGGCGAACTACTGTGTTGCCAGGTATAAACAGGTATGTCGATGCCAGTTACTTTACCCGACGGCTGCACATTCTATACGTTAAGTCAGGACAACATATTCTTATTATCTTGATGTTGCATCTATAATTAAAAATATGTTTTTAAAATTAATTAAACATGTCATGACACTATGTCCAGGATTTTTTAGGCAACCCATTTTTAATATATTTTCTATTACACAGTTCATGATAAAACATGTTTCGTTCTATTATCAGCTCGGTGAAGGTCAATGTAAGTAAGGATCTTCTACTAATATTAATTGTGATAGATCAATAGCTGGGACTTATTTATCATTTGTTAAAAATAGATTATTGGTGATTTTGAAGCATTTTTGAACTGATCGAAGGATTTATAATTATATGCTCCACGGTGGTGGTCCATGAACTTATATCTATGTTCATAAAAACGAGTCTTTTTAGTGTGACTGACATTTATCATGTCAAAGTCAAAAATCCTGACAAAATCTGAAAAAAAAATCTTAAATTTACACAACAATTAAATAGTGGTAGCAATTGAACAATTAAAAACTGTCATTATGTTATTCTAAACTTTCAGTCCCCTAACTATATCAGCATGCATTCAAAACTTCATATAATATCACAAAATATAGTTCTCAGTAGACTTTGAATTTATTCAAAAAGTTCTACAAATCAAGCATGTTGCCTCCGAAAAATCCAATGTGCATATTGTTGCTTAGACAAAAGTTAGAATACGTTGTTTCACAGGCGAGAGGATATGCTGGGAAGGAAGAGAAACCATCAGATCCAGCTAAAGAGGAAGAAATGAAGATCAAAATGCCAGGGTTCATCCACCCTGAGAACATGAAAGAAGAAGGGTACTTTACCCAGAAAGCTAGGCAGCAACTAGAAGAGATGAAGAGGAAAGCAGAATCACCGACGGTGGAGACGCCGGACAAGAAGCTTTGATGTGAAAAAGAAACTGTTTCTTTCAAATCCATAAATGTAATATATACAAAACTGCAATACAATTAAATACAATTCTTAATGTAATATTTTCATTTTGAGCCGTATTATAAATTGGCCTCATTTTTAAATATAAAGGCAATATTCACCATATTAATGTCACCACTGCTAGGGCACAGGCCTTCCCTGTGGATGAAATAGTGTAATTGGGCCGCGACCCACCACGCGGGCCCAGTGCGGATTTGTGGATGCTAATCATTTGCAAATGCAGATAGGACCAACGGTTTATCGTGCCTACCGAAGTACGTAAGAGGTCTAGATAATAAGTTTTCGTACACCCTTTAAATGAACGACCATTGTAAAAGTTGAAATTCAATGATCGCAGTCAGAACGTCACCAACAGGTGTACCGAGCTCCTCCAAAAAATAAAGTTAATTTTACTACAAAATAACCTATTTGGTATAGTGTCAGGACGGATTCGAACGAGCGCTATCCGGGCGAACGCAGTAAACAATAGTGGTTAGTGCATCTGGCCAGCAGTGGTATTCTGTAAAAATTTCACGCGCGGTTCTGGTACGTCGGAACCACGCATGAAAATTATACAGAATAGCACTGCTGATAGCTGAAGGCACTAGTTCGAGTCCAGTCTAGAAACTTTCTTACGTTATAATTGTTATTAATTTTATATTATTAATAAACCATTTAACCTATTACCTTTATATTGTATGGTTCTTAAAAAAATCACTTTTCTTCAAAATAGCTCCGAAAATACTGGAGTTACGAAAAAATGCTACAGTGCTGAATTATAGTTTCTTTGAACACAAAGATTTTTTTGCGTAGATTTTCAAGAATATCTTAATATATATAAATCTCGTGTCACAATGTTTGTCCTAAATGGACTCCTAAACCACTGAACCGATTATAATAAAATTCGCACACCATGTGCAGTTCGATCCAACTTGAGAGATAGGATAGTTTAAATCTCAAATTATAGTCGCAATTTTAATTAATTGCAAACTAGTTTATTGCAAATTATTATTTTGGGCGGTACGAAGTTCGCCGAGTCAGCTAGTAAGAATATAAATATTTGGCCAAGTATGGCTGTTTAAAGCCTCTATTTAAGAGCAGACACCAAAATTTTCGAGCCCTTTAAACTTGCTCCATTTCAAAACCTAGGGATTTAAAGAGATTTCTTTTACGTAGCCCTGTAACTCTTAAAAACCCTACAAAATGATGTTTGAAAAAACTAAATCATTAAAAATTAAGGAGTTGTGTTTAAATAATCATTTTTTTTTCGATAAATTCGAATATCCCCCTTTGAAGCATACTTTAATCTACATAACCGGTGTACTTCACAGTCCCTTTCGAAACTTCTCACATTTATTTCAAGATATTGAGAGGAAGAAACCTCTGCTCATGTGTCTAGTTAATTTTCGAATCCAATAGTGGCTTGGAAACGAAAGTATTAAATCAATAGATTGGGGGTGGTTCTTGAAGGAAGGTTCCTTGCACCCCATTAGAATGAAAAAACCGCCTGCATCTGAAGAACTTTTTAAAATAATTGTGGTTGTTACATGTGGTTGCGGAAAAGTTGGATTTTACTGCAATTCGACTTGTTCTGGGTGCTCAGGTGAGGATTGCAGTAATAGTGCTCCAGTAGTGAAAGAAGACAAGGATGACAACGACCACGACGAGGATTATATTAATGAAGAAATATAAAAAACCTTAATTTTTTGTTTTTTAATTTTAATTTTTGTCTATTTTGTAAGTACTTATGCAATGTATTTTTGTGTAAAATATTTTTTGTAGGGAATTCTACTTTTAAGGATTCCGTACCTCAAACGGCAAACACAGAACGCTTATAGGATCATTCGGTTGTCTATCTGTCTGTCACTTTGCTTGGAATCTACTACACTGATCAAGTTGCTTGGGGTAAATCTTTTTCATTAGGCTCTAACAAGTTTTGAAATATTCTGAAATTGTATTCCAAAGCACCAAACAATTAATCAACTAATTCAAAGCAAATTTTACCCATCTTAAGGTTTTAAATGTTACTTTATAAGTTTTGACCATTTAAAAAACAAACAGCGCCCATCAATATAGGTTTTGAAGTAGAGGGTAAAATGAGTCTTATTTTAAATTTTTATGCAAATCGATGCAGGACGAAAAATTTGCGCGCTTTTGTTATTTCTTGAGCTTCATTTCCTGGACTATAGGGACTGTATCCTGTGCTGCTACTATACTTATTTGTAGTTTATAAATAGGTGTTGGTTAGCGAGATTCTTCGTCCAAGTTAGTCGTAGTTGGTCCATAGAGAAATAGTGATTAAATTCTTTTTGGTAGCAGCAAAGCTCAGAAGCCACCTGGGAGCCGCAAGGAGCTCCCGCGCTTTCCCTTCCGTATTGATCAAGATTGATTATTATTATTATTATTTTGTAGTCTTGCTCAGTGGATTGATGGGCTGAAACCTGAAAGTTGTTTGACGTGATTACATTACTTTCTCTATGGTTTAAAAGTTTATAGCATGTCGAACGATTATGACAGATAATTAACAAGCAACTCGTATTTCTGAAATAATAAAGTAATTGCTATCATGTAAATTTTAGTAAACTTACTTCCTAACTGATATAATAATTAATAAAATATTGCTGCAAATAAAGAAATTCATAAGACGTATAACAAAGTGCCTAAAAGGTTTGTGACGGATATTTTGTACATGTCTGGCAATTGTGGAGTGCAACTGCCATTCCTCAGGGGCTACTTGTCTGATTGTAATGGAACCATTAATATGCCAACGAAACCAAGGAATGACATACTATCGTACCAATTGTGTTGCGCTCTATACAGTCAACGCCATAAAAGATACATAATGAACTGTTCTAAGAATTTATTCCAAATATCCTTAATCCCTCTGAGTTTCCCGACAGTTCTTGCTAAGGCAAAAGATAAGGGAGGACCGGTTCGAAGATCTGGGGGTAGGCTAGGAAAGTTGGACGCTGTCAATGAAGCAGGATTGTTCCATAAGATAAACAAATCTAAACTTGAAAAGATTAAGACGACTCTGAAGGATATTGGGAAGAAGAGTACGGCTGACCCAGCTAAGAGTGAAAAAAAGTAAAATGTCGATGATATCGTGGAAATGTCTATACATGAAAAATAGTTAGATGAAGTCATATTCACTATAAGAAATCGCAAGTATATATATTTACGTGTGGTACTAAAATTTGCTCTTGTTAAAGTTTTCCTGTATAATTTATGGAAACAGTAAAGTAAATGTTAGTTAAAGATAAAAACATAGTTTTTTTAAATCCGTAGATTTTTACAGCTATGTAAGTAATTATGGTTTCAAGTTAAATAAAAAAAGGGAAGTTAGTAAAGCATAAGCGTAATAATTTTGGCAAAAGAGTGGAATATTTAATGAATGATCAGTGTACCTCAGGAGGAATTAAGTATTAAGCGAAATTAGACTTCCCCACCTGATGTTAAGTGGTAATAAAGTCCAGAATTAAAGTCGTCCGATACAGTAGACGCAAGACAATAAAAAAATGGTCTGGCTAATTAAAACCATGATGCAAATGAAACATTAAAAGTGTTTTACGTCGTCCAAAAATTTAAGAGATAATGAGGTCCTGCATAAAGGAGATAATGCAGGACCCCATTATCTCTATTAAAAACATATACCTAAACTAATTTGATGGTATTCTGGTTTTAACAAAAAGGGGGAAAACAACTGGAGTATTCCAGTTCGTATGAACCCAGGACCTCCGCGTGGCTGGCGAGGTCTCTACCACTGAACCATGGATGCTAGCTGATAAGGTCTGATTTTTTAATAACAATTTAAATATAATGCGGCATGCTAAAGATGATCGCAAAAATTGCGGCTATGTTATAAAAGTTTCACTTTAATATATGTAGATACAATGCAGATACGCCCCATGCGTTTGGATAAGTTTCGGTGTTACTGTGCAATGATGGTCACCTACACCGTGATAGCCTCGTATCGCAGGTACAGTAAGTAGACAGTGAGATTATCTCCACAAACAGAGATTGGCCCCACGCTGCGCACGTCATGCGTGAAGCTCCCGTACTGATGCGCGAGCGCATGTAACGACAGCAAAACAACTGATTTGAATATTGCTTTCATAAAAAATATTGTGTAGTGGCTCAAGGATGAACTTTGACAACTCCGTTATTGTATTATTATATCGTTAAAGTTTCTTTGAAAATTAAAAAGCCCTATCGATCGTAATAACAAAGTGGCTCTTTTCATACAAA